CCGGGGCTCCCAAACTGCCGGCTGAGAGTTTATGTGGGTTTTATAGAGGTTTGGTAGGATTTAGGGTTTATGCTTTCGAGAGGCTTAGGGTTTAGGCTTCAGGGCTTATATGTTTTTTATAGAGGTTTAGGGCTTAGGCATTAGGGTTTATGTGGTTTTATAGAGGCTAGAGGTTTGGATTTAGGGTTTAGGTTTTACAGAGGCTAGGCATTAGGGTTAATGTGGTTTTATAGAGGCTTAGGCTTTAGGGTTTATGTGTTTTTATGGTTTTATTCGCATTTATAATGCTTTTAAATGGTGAGTATAGTATGGGGTGTTAGAAGGGTTTTTATGAGGTGCGACAAGGGGTTTAGAGGGTGCTACCGGGTTTTGTGGTGCTTGCTGTAGGGGCTTAGTAATTGGAATAGGTCGTGTACTGTACGATTTAGAGGACTGGGTTAGCAGTTCTTTTGGTTTTCGCAGTAGTGCTTTAGATGTTTGGGTTGCTTGGTCGCAAGGGATGGGTTTAAAGTTTCTTGCTGGCTTGAAAGGCAAGGTGTGGGGCTTTAGAGTTTTAGCGTTTAGGGGTTTGGTTTAGGGCTTAGGGTCCAGTGGTTCAGGGTTCTGTGGTCTGTGGCTTTGCCGTGTAGGGCTTCTTGAACGGCCTTGATGTAGGGCTGAACTCGCCGAAACTTGCCAAACGGCTTTGCAGTGGACATACAGTCGGCTCCTTCAAACCAGCATGCAACCCAATAGACCTTCCACTTTAAAGGTCTAGCTGTGGTTCGTCTATGCCTTCAAGCATCCGAGGGGCAAGGCTTCAAGGATCTCAGTGTTTGAGGATTTAAGCTTTTCGGGGCCAGGTTTTGATGGTTTTGGAACTGTAGAGCTGTAGGGCCTAAAGGCTTTTTGGTGTACATGTTGTAGGGCCCTTGGACCTAAGCGCTTTCCTCCCAGGGCTTCGGTGAAGAAGAAGCTTCCTCTTGCAACGTCCGGGCGCTGAGAGGATTTCTCGTAGTGGGTAATGCTTTTAGGAGTTGAGGGTCTAGGGATGGGTGGGTCCTGGACTGTCGCTTCTCCGTAGGCTTGGGAGACATCGAGCAAAGGAGACAG